ATAGATTCGGATCTGTAGATCTTTATCGATAGTACACTGGTGGATTTTTCCCTAGAAGCCATCACACGTCGGAATTCTTCGCTTTTACTGGCGGACCGTTGTTTTTATTTTTGTTTCCTTTTGGCTTCATGTGATCTCCCATCTTTTTCTCCCGTCTAGATAAAGTTTAGGATAGTATAATTACGGTACTTCGTAAATTTAGGAACTTAATTCCCTGTGGATCGATATCTGGAATTCACTATTCTACAAAACGCGATACTGTACACTTACGGTTATTTATACGTAGGTTTTACGCGTATCAAGTTTTTGGCGCCGTTGCCGGGGAATTAGTTAATCTTGAATTTACTAATATCGTTACCAACTATCCTTGCTTTACTTTAGACATTTTTTTTCTTTTGATTTTTTTTTTTATTTTGTTTTAGCAGATTTGTATACATTGATGGCCTCGATTTATGATATCTCTCTTTACAAGATTCAATCCAGAGCTGATTACATTCAACATGAGTTGGAGGATATTGAAAGACATTGTAAGCTGAACCCAGAAAATGGAATTGCACAAACAAATGAGCACTTGTGCTATTTACAAGACGAACTCCACTTTCTGGCAAATATTTTCGAAATTTTCCAGAGATGTCACATTCACAAACCACATCCGACCATCCTATATGAAGACAACGAGGTATTTACAGATTTTCGTATGAACGATGAGGTTGAGCACCTTGAGGGAATTATTCATCCCAGTTCTGTAGATACTTTTGCGTGTGATGAGAGTGGGATGAAGATGATGGTAGAGGAACTTGACGAACTAAATCCTACCCACATTGCTACTCTGGATTTGAGTGTGAGCGAGGAGACTAGTTTTAAATTTGAGGTAGAGCTTTCTCCAAAGCTCGAATATCTTGTATACGAGTTTCAGAGATCGGTAGGCAAGCAACCCATCCTAGTCTCCTACCGACTGATTTCCAAAGCAAACGAAAAGTACCATGGGTTGGGATGGTCATTACAAGATTGCAATCTAGTCCACGATATGATTGCAAAGTATGTATCAAGACTGACGGATGGATGCGCAATCTACAAGGCTTTGGATTGGACATAATCCGTCCAAATTGTGTCGAGCCGTCGACTGTAAAACAGGCGCTGAATGGGAGGCAACCCATTATTTATTTTTCGTCATTTATTTTATTATTTTTCTTTTATTTTGCATTTTTTTTTATATAAAGCTATATTTCACCCATTTTTCTTGATTTTTGCCGGTATCTCGTCCCCAAGGAAAGAAGAGTAAGAAGTCGGGAAGTCTAGGCAATTCTGGCAATTCGCCCTCGGTGCCAAAATTCATGGCACCCCATGCAACCAAAGAACAATTTCGCAACCGCAGAACACTGATCAATCTGCGGCACGACTGTTCAGGGCGTATTTCTTTCTCATATCTTTTATTTTTCGCATTGAGGGCAATGCATGATTTAAGTTTGGGGGTGAGTTTAGCTTATTTTTCTTTTTGGTCTTTTGCATGCATATCATATAATTTAGTTTCATTTATGTACTTCAATTTCCGTAATTGTGTTATTTTTGTCACATGCATTTCATTTAGGATCGAGTGTAAGTTGCATTTCCGGATTCTATTGAAGCAAAGCAATTAATGAATTAGTAGATGGGCTAGTTGATTTTAAAATTGAAATTATGGATAACCGGCTAATTATAGATGTACCTTCCGACTGCGTTTTTGCAACTTGTGTGGATAGCCTTTCGAATCCTTTCCGATTAAGCTTGAGCGCACTTTTCTGAGGGGTATAATAGTCTGAGGTTTTGGGGGCGAGTTAGAATTGAATTATGTGTTCACGATTTCCAGTTGTTGGCTAAAAGTTCTATCAATGGTCTTTACGTTTTTATTTTATGTTCGATATTAAAAAAAATAAAAAAAAATAAAATAATAATTTGTGGTATTGTTGTGATTCACGCTCTGATTTCCCCGCCTTTCTAACTCGAGCTTAACCCGTTGGGTGCACCTCGTCGCCTAAGTCTCTCGAGCTGTCGAGCTTGGGGGTTTCTTGGACTAAAATTCGATAAATGGGTCAGGGAGATAACACAGTGGTGTCGAGCCTTGCACGAGTCACGATTATGCCCGTTTCAAAAAAAAAATAAAAAAAGGAAAAAGTTGTGATGAAAATCACCAAAAATATTGTAGTTGTCATTTCTTTTATTTGAATAAATAGACCTAGTTATGCCCAACTCGAGTTTTTGAATTTCTGAATCAAAACTTACTTTTCACCCACATTTCTACTCAAAACCCTCGATAATTGTGTTTATTGTTTAATTACGGATTCTTGAGTCTATCTTTCATTTTGGTGTAGAAACAACTAATTGCGTCGGTAAGAAAGTCGAATACCTTAAGCCGTATGCCATTCTAAGATTTTAGGTTATCTAGCTCGTTTCATCTTCGGAATTAATTGCAATGCTTTGACCAATCCGGCAACTTTGTGGGTGTGTTGTCTGAAAACCCTCACGAGACACAACTCGTCCTTTGGGGGTACCTAGGGGTTCAAAGGCTTGTTGCATGCGCTAAATGCAATCGTGATTCCCTACGTTAGTGGCCTAGGTTTAGTTATTCTTTCGTTTGTCGTTTTTGTTTTTGGGTCATAGTTTTGTTTTGATTTACTCGGGACGAGTAAAGATCTAAGTTTGAGGGTGTGATAAGTGTTCGTTTTGCACAACTTTTACTTATCTAATCTTCGTGTTTTGGTCTTCATTCGTCCAAGTTTTCGGCTTTATTTGTATATATTATGTTGTTTTTGTTTTATTTATATGTTAGGTAAAGATAAGCTATTTTTGCCGATTCGAGACGATTTTGGAAGCGAAGCCGAGAACCAAACCAAACACGTGCAAAAGTGCATTCTCGCGGATTGTGGCAGTGTTTGGTATTTAAAGCATAACTTTCTCATGCAACCTCCGATTGAGCTGATTCAAGTGGATTTAGAAAGCTAACTTCAAGGGCTACAACTTTTGTGAAATGCACAATTGTCGAATTCGGGCTGAAAAAAGGTCAAAACAGTGTTTGAAGTTGATGCAGAGGCCAGATCGCGATCCAGCATCACCGGATCGCGATCTGGTGGCAAATTCCAGTAGCAGCGAAAAGTTGGGGCAGATCGCGATCCGCACTTCCTGGATCGCGATCTGGGAAGGCGGTGGGCAGTTTTCGAGGTTGCCAAATCGCGATCCAAGAAGCCCAGATCGCGATCTGGGCACATAAATCGAGACTAGATATTTTTCTTTGATTTTTCACTATAAATAGAAGGTCTCTTTTTCATTTTTGAACAGCTCGACAACCTCTCGATTATCTCTCGACTTCTTCTTCGGTTTTCGCCAGTTCTTCGCGGGAAGCTTCGACGAGGGTTTCGACGAGGGTTTTTCATAAGCTTTTCTTTACGTTTAGTTTATAATTTCTCGTGTTCTTCATTTTGATGCTATGTTTGTAATGAACTGAGCATTTTCTTTTAGGGAAATGAAACCTTGTATATATTGATTTTGATGTCCAGATCTGTGATCTATTTGTCGTTCTTTGATTATGTTTATGTTTTCCTGTATTAAATGCTTTCGATTGTTTGGCCAACAGTTGAATTGATTCTAAATGGGAATGAACTCGAGAGAGGATTTCTCGTTTGATTTTAGGAAACCATAGCTCGGGGTTGTGGAAACGGAGACGTGATGCACCTCGGGTAGCCTTTAAGGACTTGACCTAAATGCTCTCTTAATATCAGGTTCTGAACGGAGACGTCGGACCTGTGGGTAGACTCTAACTACACTGGAGACGGGGGTTAGGGTATTTTAGTGTCTGGGTTAGCGAACATAGAATTGACAATAGATTCGGTTTGTAGATCTTTATCGATAGTACACTGGTGGATTTTACCCTAGAAGCCATCACACGTCGGAATTCCTCGTTTGTCCTGGCGGACCGTTGTTTGTATTATTTTTGTTTCCTTTTGGCTTCATGTCATCTCCCATCTTTTTCTCCCGTCTAGATAAAGTTTAGGATAGTATAATTACGGTACTTGGTAGATTTAGGAACTTAATTCCCTGTGGATCGATATCTGGAATTCACTATTCTACAAAACGCGATACTGTACACTTGCGGTTTTTCATACGTAGGTTTTACGCGTATCACTCGACCTCGCGAGCTCGAGCTCGAAAAACTCGAGTCCGAGTTCGAGCTTTTTTCGAGCCGGCTCATCAAGCTCACGAGTCGGCTCGTTTACCACCCCTAGTTATTAGTTTTACTTTTATCGACGTGGATGTTCTTATTTTTGAAAAATTATGAAACTTTCAGAAAAATTCGGACAATTTTTTAAATTTTAAAACTTATGTGATTTTCGAAATTTCTGCGACTTTTGGAATTGGAATGAATTTTAGATTCCAACTTTTTTTGAAATTAGAATTGAAATTAATTTTGCACTAACGAAAAATGATGATTTTTTTTTCGAAAAGGCCAATTTCGATCTGTTCCATTCTACTTACACCCGTACATAGAAGAAAATCAGTTGTGGTGTAGCCAAGAAATATTCTGGCTGCTCCAATATTTTCTTATATCAGTTAAGAAAACATATATTTTCATGCATATAATATTGTATAACTATTAATTAGTTCAATTATAAGCAAAAACTAATTGCACCAAAGGATACACTTTTTCATTAATATTAAATATTTTATTATGTTTTGTCTGAATTATTACTATTTATTTATATACCTGAAAATATACGTGAGTATTACAATTCCAAAAACAAAAAAAGAAAGAAAAAAAAAGAAATTTAAAGTATAACCAAAAGGCCAGACTCTGAGAGGGCAATAATTGTGGCATCCCCACACACAGCTGTGAAAGGCAAAAGTTGATGAACATGGAAACTGACAGTCACCACAACTGCTTTATATCTCAAACTTGATCGAATATAAGCCACATAGCAAATAATATACAGCAAATTTTAGAAAGAAAGAAAAAAAAAACTGTTCCAATCATGGCGGATGCTATTGTTTCGGTTGTGTTGGAGCGTATTGCAGCTCTCGTGGAAGAGAAGATCCGAGACGAAGTAAATTTGGTGAGAGGAGTTAAGAAGGAGATTCTCAGACTTTCCGATGATCTGAACACAGTTAGAAATGTGTTGGAGGATGCGGAGAAGAAGTGGTACAAGGAAAAAAGCATCAAAGATTGGTTGACGAGGCTCGAAAACACGACGCATGAAATGGACGACGTGTTGGACGAGTCGCGCTACTCCATTCTCGAATTTCAGATGGAAGAATCGAATGCTGCTGCCGAAGTTCCTCGTAAGCAGAAGGTATTACTATATGGTGGTCTTGCGTTATCCCTTCCTCGTGTTTATGTTTCAAGAAAATTGTTGTACGTCGTGAGATTGGCTTGAAAATAAAGCAAGTGAAAGCACGGCTTGATCTAATTCTGGCGGAGAAAGATCGGTATGGTTTTGCTATCACAGAACAATCATCATCGTCGTCTGATCTTCCGCATGGCGAATCTTGGAGAGTTCAATCTACTTCTTTGATCGACTTAAAGGAAGTATGTGGACGCGAATCAGAGAGAGAAACTCTGGTGGCCAAACTTGTGGCTGAAGGTAGTAGCGAACAGGAGGCATGCGGCGTTTGCCTTCTCTCTGTAGTGGGTGTGGGAGGACTTGGGAAGACAACTCTTGCTCAGCTAGCTTATAACGATAGTCGAGTAAAGAATTGTTTCGAATTAAGAATATGGATATGTGTTTCGGATCCGTTTGATGTGTTTGGTATTGCCAATGACATCATTGTGAAAGTGGGAGGGAGTAAACCACAAGATGCCAAGCAGTTAGATATGTTGTTGGATTGTGTAACAAAGTCTATCTCGAGGAAAAAAATTCTTCTTGTTCTGGATGATGTTTGGGCGGAAGATGATACTTTGTGGAAAGCCCTGAAAATCGCTCTCAATTGTGGTGGTGGACTCGGTAGCAAAGTTCTGGTGACAACTAGAAACGAAAGGGTTGCAATAATGATGGGAGCCTCTGAGAATGGGATCCATCATTTAGGACATCTCTCTGATAAAGATTGTTGGTTATTATTACGTCGGATTGCCCTTTGTGGAAAGAACGAGGAGGAATGTGAAAGATTTGACAAGATAGGTAAGGCGATAGCCAATAAGTGCAGGGGGTTGCCATTTGCAGCAAAGACTTTGGCAAGTCTTTTGCGTTTCAAGAAGACAATGGAAGAGTGGGAGAGCGTGTTGAGTAGTGAAATATGGGAGTTGGAGAAGGTGGAAGTTGAGCTATTCCCCCATTTGCTTCTGAGTTACAACGAGTTGTCCCCAGCACTCAAGCGCTGCTTCTCGTATTGTGCTGTGTTTCCTAAAGATACCAGAATTGATGTGGAGACTCTAATAACAAAATGGATGGCACTAGGTTACCTTGGATCAAATGCCGGTGACAGCTGGAAAATTAGAGGGAGAGAGTACTTTGATAATTTAGCAGCGCATTCTTTGTTTCAAGACTTTAAGAAAGATGGCGACGATAAGATAGAATCGTTTATGATGCATGACATTGTACATGATTTTGCTCAATTCCTGAGGAAGAACGTGGGATCAAGAATGGAGAAAACAATTTGTCAAGCATGTAGCCCTCGGCTAGTTTCTCAA